ATCACTCCAGCACATTGAGTTTGTTGAGACAATTCACAAACAAGAGGGAATTGGTAAGACATGCCGTCACCCATTTTGCCACTTCCTATCTTACATTAGAAAGGATTTTTCAAGAGAAAGATCATCTTAGAAGAATGTTCACTTCGAGTGAATAGAGAGCAAACAAGTTGGCAAAAGAGTCCAAGGGAAAGGAAGCTGAAAAAATTGTCATCATACCTTCATTTTGGAGTAACATGATATATGATCTCAAGGTTATGGCCCCGCTTATTAAAGTGCTTTGACTTGTGGATAGTGAAAGAAAACCGCAATGAGCTATATTTATGAAGCAATGGACAAGGCAAAAGAAGCAATCGAGAATTCTTTCAATCGTGATGAAAACAAATACAAAGATGTGATTGCAATCATCGATAAGCGATGGGATTGTCAACTTCATCGTCCTTTGCATGTTGCTGGTCATTCTTTGAATCCTCAATATTTCTTTAGCAACCCTGAACTTGAGAACAATATGGAAGTGGTTGATGAATTATACCAGTGTATTAGGAGATTGGTGTCATCTAGGGTCGATTAAATCACTTCCGGGTAGAGTCAATTTTAGACTCGGGTTATATCATCTTAAGATGATGGAGTTAGAATTTTCTAATTCGGAATACCCCGAAAGGGGTATGGTGGAAGGACTAGAGGTCTAGGTCAAACCCGAGAAATCGGATTGCAGAAGAAGGCTAATGATCGGGTGGAGTGATTGGTTCCACAGGTAGGTAGGGACACTATAAGAAGAAATTGTAGGTCCCGGATGACGAGGAAGGGAGAGTCCGAGGTAGAAGGACGTATTGATCTTGGAGGAGTAAACCGAAGATTCTTCGGTTCTCGGTGGTAGGTTAGGAGGTGAGGTCTTCACATTTAGGTGGAGCTTCCTGAATAAGATGCTCATGAGATGGTGTGAGCTAGGAGATGTCGGGTTTCACGGGGTAGAGTCGGTGAAAGTTGGAGTGCTAAGACACTCCCTCTCAGGGTGGAGCACATGCACTCATGTCTCTTATTCTTGGTGGAGCATTTCTTGATGACTATGAGCGTTTTCACGGGACAAAACCGTGGGATTAGTTGGCAGGTTAGGGTCACGGGGGTAGACGTCACATATTTATAGGTAGTGTAGACTCTATAGGGATCCAAGGCTAGGTTTTCTAGCAGGTTCGGTAGTATGACTCAGGTTAGTCTCAGGAAAGTCGGGTTAGACTCGGAAGACGGATAGATGTCAGGTATAATAACCCTCGGATTGCTAGCAGGTAAAGTCTTAGATCGATTTTACCGGGAGGGTTAAATAGACGGTCTAGGGAGTCGTCATACCACCAGAGATAACGTTTGCCGGTCGGGCGGCGTATGTTATGCTTACGATTCGAATCTTGTCCATGTGAACTTTCTGATCCTCTACCAAGTGTTTCAGGGATAGATGAGCTGGATCAGTGACGGAATAAGAAAGATCCGAAGCCTTGGAGTCACCGACGATGAGCTACATCAGATTCAAGGCGGTGGAGGTTTTGAATTCGGTACAGAAGATGTCGAACTAGATAAGTCAGATAAGTTTATGAATTCTAATGTGTTTTTAATTTTCGGAAAAAGTCGATCGGTGCTGGAAACGACGATAATCCACTAGGTTTATTTTTCTTTTTTGGTTCCTCTTTCTCCACCAAAGTGGAGATTGTTGGGCTTGGCCCATGTGTTGGTGAAAAAAGAGGAGACTTTGTTTCTAACGGAGGCTTTCGGTTTAGCATGAAATCGAGCGAGATTTTAATCCCGAACCAAAACGTTGTTTTGGTATTTTAGGGTTAATACCCTAATGCTTTGATTCATCGTCAATTGAATGCACGATGCTCGAGGGAGAGGGGGATTGCGATCACAGAGGTGATCTGAGAGAGAGAGAAAGACAATGCGACGAAGGAGCTTCCCGGCAACGAGGAGCTAAGATCTACGGCGACGGTGCGAGGTAAGCAAGGGTCGACTCGGTAAGGGGCGAGCCGGTTGTGTTGTGGAGTGTCGGTGTGTTACTCTTCTCGGTTGTTTCTGTCTCTAGTGGATTCGTCGGTACCATCCGGCCGAGATGTAGGTCTGAGCACCGTTCGGTAACCGAACTCGTTAAAATTTCGGTGTCTCTTTTTCTTCCTCGAACGTACGAGCATCAGAGCGAATGGTCAGAGCTCGATACCACATTCACATTAATATTGATTATATAATTTTAACGGTATAGCCAATATAATTAACATGATCATTATATAATTTTGATAATATTTTCAATGTGACTAGTATGATGATTAAATAGATAATAAGAGTGGTTAGTGGTTACACATTAGACATGTATGTTTTGAATTATATATAGTAAATTAAGAGTATTTTTTTATGATGGCCGTCTCAATGTCACGGAGTCCGAGGAAAGATAAACTCGGCACCACTCGAGATAAGTGCAGACTTTGTGGATAACCAAAAAGAATAAGAAATGGTTAATGGGTTAATTCGATTTATAAGTTAAATTCTAATAAAATTAATATAAACTCGATTCAATTTAACATAAATGGATATAATATTTTCAAAAGTAAAAGAACGAATACAAAACTAACAGGAACTAAAACCGTTTGATGTTGAACGTATCTTAGAGCATATACACTTCCAAAAAAATGTTTATCGTTTAATTGTTTTGTATTTAAATGAAACTTGAATCACCAGGAAATGAAATTTGATAGAATTAGTAGAAGAAAAATAGGTGTTGGTAGAAAGTGAAATTTATGTTCTGACCGATAACTTTAAATCACATTGCATGAAAATTCTATAAAAATATCGAATTTTACAAAATATAACAAAAAGTATATAAAATTTTAATTTAATAAATAAATATATCAAATGTTGAAATGTGTAAAAAAATATTTCAAATTTTTGAAGATTAAAATAAAATTCGTATACAATATTTAACTAAACCGTCATCATTTTATCCAATTTATTTAAATTTTTTTGTACACGGATTTTAATGAATCTACAGATTTTAATGACATATTTGATGTGTAATAAACTGTTTTTATTTCAAGAATTGAGATACTTTTTTGATATATTTCAATATTTGATGTATTTGTCCAATTAAAAGTTTATATATTTTATTTTCTTATTTTATAAAATTTAATATTTTTATGGGATTTATCTTATAATTTTGTATTTTTTTTAACAAATCAAGGATTAAAAACGCAAAATTAGATTTTTTTTCCCAACTAGAATTATAAACCGAAACTTTATGTTATGACTAAATAATTTGTTGCTTGGTCGAATTATATATTTGATAGTTTGTATTCAAATGTTCAAAATCACCGTCACGAGATTAACAATCTAAATTCGACTAATTTTGGAGAAACATCTTTTTTCACTAGAATTCCCAAAGGGAGTTTAATTAAACATGTGTTGGAATATATATATATATATATATATATATATATGTGTGTGTGTGTGTGTGTGTGTGTGTGTGTGTGTGTGTGATTCCTCCAAGTGTTTGGTCAAATATGCTTTAAGATACTCTGACAATCTGAAACACTTGTAAGACATTATTATTTTAGTTTGCCTGAAAATGTTTTTTGTTTTGATTCTTTTTTCTCTTTCTGAAATTTTATTTAAATTAAATCAGCCATCTTTCTAGTTTTTCTGAATTTCATAAAACCATATAATTTATTTTTTAATAAGACAGTCCACGTGGCTCCACGATATTAAGAAACCATGAAGTCTTGTGGTTATAACTTAAAATCATGCATTGACGAACTCAGAAGAGACAAAGAAAAGTGTGGACCAAAATCAACAAAGTTGTTGGGGGTCTATCGTCATGTTGCTGTTGAGCGATACGCGAATGGGTGATTAATTAATTTAATATACATAATAAATATAAATGCACTTGTATCATATCATATATATATATATATATTTTTTTTTCTCTGGAAAATTTAAAATATATATATATATAGAAGAAAGAATCTTTGAACAAGTGTTGGCTTCCTCAACTAACTTTCCAATCCGGAGACGTATGAGCTTACATGACCATTCCAAGTCCAATACTCACATTTTTTTTAATTAGAAAACTTAGTAGAAATATTCGAATATTTAACATATATATATACACGTACTTATATATACACACATATATGTTTGATAAATACAATTACTTTTAATAACAAGTTAAAATATTTTGATAGATATATATTTTCCATATTCTTATTAAAATAATCAAGTAACCCTAATATTTTCTCTCTCTCACACATACATACATACATACATACATACATACATACATACATACATACATACATACATACATACATACATACATACATACATACATACATACATACATACATACATACATACATACATACATACATACATACATATAGTGTGTGTGTGTGCAAGATGAGGACATAATCTTGTTACCGATCGACTCCATCATGGATTATTTCCTTATGCATATGACAAACATTATATTCAATTATTTTTTACCAAAACAAATTATATTGAATTATTTCCTTATGCACATTTCCAAATATAATTTTATTCAGTCGGACAATTTGGAAGTTTTTGTAGAAGCGATGGTATTGAAGAATTCGTGGAGACCGACTTTTGACATATTTTATCAAGACATTCTCATATGTTGATTCCGAGATTTTTTAAAAATAAAAAATAAAAAATATCTTCACGTTTCGCTGCATATGTTTACGTAGCATGCACGCGGACATGTACAACATTGACGTTATCATTTTTTTTTTGTATTTTTATTCTAAAAATAAAGACAAAACATAAGAATTAGACGACATTGTAATTGACAAACTATAACCGAACACAACACATTAACACATTCTCTAGTTGAGACATCGACATGATCGAACAATAGAAACATTTCTTCTAATATATATTTCCAAACAAAATACCTTTGTTTACTTATTTTCTCATAAATAGAAATTAAGACTATATGTGAAATTACTTTGACATAAAAACAAATATATATAAAATGTATTCATATTCAACTATATATAACTTCTGAAGACTGAAAACACTTGAACGATCGATGGTATTAATTAATTAAAACAACAATTAATAAACTTAATATATAATTCAGAGGCAGTAACCATCAGCGAAATCCATCATAGCGAGTGAACTCAACCCGAAGTAATAATCTTCATGAAACCAGAAAGCGTTATTTGGGTTGTAGAAGTTCGCCATCTCATCGATCAGGACAGGAACCGCGACGTCGTCTTCTTCATCCTTGTTTCGGATATTTTGGACATTCACAGACTCAAAATCTGCGGTGTGATCTCTCGTATCGGTGTTATTGATGATGAGCCGTTGCGGAGAAGAATTGGTTGCGAAGATCATCGTCGGAGAAGGGGATTCGCCGTTTTTGGGAGCGGATTGATCGGATCTTATCCCGAGTTTCTTACTTAGATGAGTGTTCCAATGGTTCTTGACTTGGTTATCTGTTCGACCCGGCACTCTCTTCGCAATCAAAGACCATCTGTTTGGCAATAACAAAAAAAAAAAAAGAGATTTGTAACGTTGGGGGGAGCAATTTAAATAAACTATGCCCATGAACCTATACAAAGATGGTAAGTATGCAAATAAAGTATAGCCAGCAGAGATGAAAAGGATATATATATCATATACATATAATTAATAATATATATACACTAATACACACACGTACATATACATGAGATTTGTTCAGATGTCTTGAAGAGATACTGCTCTTTCACTATAAATATAAAAAAACAATATTGTAGTTGTAGATGTAAATGATTCATAAATGAATGCATTTACTAGTGTATAGAGTGAACTATATATCATATAAGTAATATTGTTTTTACTATTAGGTAAGTGTATATTCTTCTTATTTTTTGTTGAATTACCTAGAAAATATGTATGTATGTATGTATGTATGTATGTATGTATGTATGTATGTATGTATGTATGTATGTATGTATGTATGTATGTATGTATGTATGTATGTATGTATGTATGTATGTATGTATGTATGTATGTATGTATGTATGTATGTATGTATGTATGTATGTATGTATGTATGTATGTATGTATGTATGTATGTATGTATGTATGTATGTATGTATGTATGTATGTATGTATGTATGTATGTATGTATGTATGTATGTATGTATGTATGTAAAGAGAACCTGTTTCCAAGGAGCTTGTGGAGTCTGATGATGAGGTCTTCTTCTTGGTCGGTGAAATCTCCTCTATTCACATTAGGGCTGAGGTAATTCATCCATCTCAGCCTACAACTCTTCCCACATCTCTTAAGCCCTAATTACAAGAAACCCACTTACAAAGTTTCAATCTTTAGAGAGAGAGAGAGAGAGAGAGAGAGAGAGAGAGGGAGGGAGGGAGAGAGAGACAGACCAGTTTTCTTGGCGATACGGTTCCAGTGGCCTTTGCCGTGAGTTCGGACATAATCGATGAGGATCTGATCTTCTTCAACGGTCCATAAACCTTTCTTGTACTCCTCTTCTTCTTCTCTTGTCCTTTTCATCTTTTTCTTCTCTTTTTGGATCTTGATCCCTAGAGAGAGAGAGAGAGAGAGAGAGAGAGAGCCGTATCAGAAATCAGTGATGGTTGTTAAGACGAGCCTCGCTGTATTATATATATCTGTATACATGAGGATGTGCATTTAATGGTCCCGTATGTGTGCGCGCGCATATATGTAGAGCTTGCTTTGTATAATTTCGAAAATGAACACTGATTTTGACATACATCATCATCGGTATATATTATACGCGTACACCTACCAAAATATATAATTGAAACTCTAGGGGAATTTATCCATAACAAAATATTATAGAATTCACAATCAAATCGGGCTATATATATATACAGTTTTTTTGGGTCTTGACCCTCATTATTTCATTATAATCGATGGAAAAAAAGGGAATAATTGTGCAACTAATCAAATCTCAGGTGATACTAAATAGCCAAAATCGGATCAAATGCTCAAGCAGCCAAATTAGATTTGACGAGATGGCCCGTTACAATCTCATGTCCAATATTTTAGCAATATTTTTTCCCAAAATGCGTGGCCATTCTGGGTTTACATAAAATCCACGATCAATATATTATACATATGTAACAAATTGTTGTTGAAAATTTTCCACTTGGATTTATTTATAGTATAAATATAGGATAAAACTCATAAAAAATTTTGAACTTGTAGAACTATGGAAAACTAATTTTTAAACTTTTTGTTCGACAATTTGTTCTCAAATGTGCAAAATATATCACTATAATTTCCAAATTTACAAAATATATTGTTATAATTCCCAAACTGAATTTCGGATCAATATCTTCGGGGTTTATTTTGACACTAATTAACAGGTTTTGAGAATTATAATGACATATTTTAAAAGTTTGAGAATAAATTTATTAAACGAAAAGTTTAAAAAATTATTTTCTATCATTTTAAAAGTTCAAATTTTTTTATGAATTTTACCCTGCAAATATATGGGGATGTAAAGTAAAACGAACGACTGAAAATATAACACACTCTAGAAACTTTAATTTTTGTAACATTTTTGTCTATTTCTTGATTTATTTGGATGAAAGCGATACTAAGTTTTATAAATTTAATATTTAATAATTAGTGATAAATATAGTTTTTTTGGGTATGTCATTTTAATTTATTTTTCAGTACTTTAAACTAGTAGATTTTTTTTTAATGAGTGATGAGTGAGGCTTGAACAAAGATAAAAGAAATGTGCAATTCCTTGATAAATGTACGCATTACATTACCCCAACTAACAAGTTCAGTAGAAATGGAACGACAAAAATAAAACCCTTTCACCCAAAAAATAAAAATAAAAACAAAGTAACCAAATTAATAAAACGCATAGTTTTCTTCTCTCTGGAGTTTTGTGCAGATTTCATTTATTATTTTAATAATTCGAAGAATAGAAGGTCCTCATGCTCGTCTGCATCTGCCAACTTGTCATTGGATTCCGACAAAGCTGTCTAATCTACATGCATACACATGTACATGTATACATGTATATATACATATAATAACAATTAAATATAGTGGTGTGATGTGATAATATGTATTTATAATCATTTATATTGAGATATTAGAAAAGTTACTTTTTATATTTTATAAATAGGTTGTATGACTTTGTGTCATATATATAGTTTACAAATGTTTTACAAGAGAGAGTAAAAGTAATAGTTTTTATAAGTTTTGTTTAAAAAAAAAAACTAAATCTCGTTGTATCCAAGAATATTTCTTTTAAAATCTGAAACAATTTTATACCTAGATAAAAATATTTTTGAAAAACGTTTTAATTTGTAATTCGAGATTTTTTACGATTTTGTGTTCGTTTATATACATCCGTGTTTATTTTTATCTTTTTTTAATTATTTTTTTATTTTATTCAATCTGTACTTATCGAGTAGTGTAGTTGGTTGAAAATGATAGAATGTGCCCTTATCCCAAATCTCATGCTCGAATAATAGTTGAGAAGGAGATACACGATTTAATTGTGATACACAAACTGTTTTCAAATTTCAGATTTTAGAAGATATAATTGGACTGAAAATTCAAAAAAATTTAATTAAAAAAGTATTTTTCCATTTTCCACTACTAATATATATATATATATATCCATAAAGAGAAGTTTGTCCTTCTCTTCCTAATAATGATAATGATGATTACTTGAAGTTGTTATAAAAACAGAATTGAGAAAGCCAACAAGATATGATAGGCATAGTCAACCTCTCAACAAGCTAATGTCTACCAAGACGGTTGGCTCAGATAATGACCTTATATTCAACATAACCACATGCTTTATATAAATAAATGCGTACGTATGTACACACATATATATATATATATATATCTATATTTGTTTATCCAGATATTTTAAATAGCTTATATATATATATATATTTGTAAATGGACAGATATGTCAAGACAATGGAGGTTTTTTTCCAGAACTGTTCAGTTGCCCGCTCGAAAGTGGTTAGGCTATAAATAGAAAAAAGTAGAAACCATAATAGAATGAGACCCCACAATGGTTCTATCAAGAAGATTTGCTAACGGATCTAATTGAAATTAGGTCACGAGAAAAGAAGAAAAGAGGAGGGAAATTAAATGTCGAATTTTAAATAATTTATTGTCGAATAATACGGTGAAAAATAGAAGATACTAATTTTATTTTATTTGAAATACATATCAAAATTAATATTATTTTTAAATGAATTAGTTTAAATAATTAAGAGTATTTTAATATCATTCCAATACTATTAATTCAGATTCGTGGGCGAAAACAATTATGAAAATAAGGTGTTTTGAAATAAAATATTAGGGTTTTAAAGACTATCATTTTAGGAATATATTGGGTAATAAGTTATGTGTCACAAAATTGGAAAAAAAAAAATCGTACAAAAACACATTTTATAAAAGAGTAAACCTTTAATTGGCGGTATAGACTTTGAATTGAATAAATATGCAACAAGCCGTCAACCCTTGGTGACCGTACGTACCATTAGGAAAACATGTATCATATCCAAAGAGGAAAAATCATGAACTCATGTTGCATTCGTACTTGATTTCTTCGCTCACGGTTGAGTTGACTTTTGGATGTGGTTCCGTTCAATTTTTATTTTTGTTGATGATTTTCTATTGCTATATTTTAAAAAGTTTACATTCAAACATGCATTTCTTTTGTTAAAATATTTAATATATAAAAAAGGGAATTTTCCATTACTTGTACAAAAAATATTTATCGTATTCTTTATTCAGTAATAGTGGCAAGTCCATAAAGTTTTACTTCTGCACATCACATATACTTCAATTTTTAAAAAATATTATATAATTTTAAAAAATATAATATAATCATCAAATAAATATATTATGTTGTACAAATTTGATCAATAACTATCAAATGTTTCGTTTTCCGTTCGATGGTAATTACAACTATAAAATATGAGAAAAATCGATGTTCGATTAATATATTAATCTAAACCGGATTATCATATAATCATTTTGATAAAAAAAAATAATTCTCATTTTTTTTACTTGTAGGTTTCCATTCAAAAGCTATAAATGAGATACTATACATGCACATCATTTGAAAATAACCATATTGAAAATCTTTGGAGAAATTTTGAGACAAGTAGAGGAGACAAAAAATATTTAACATTATTGCATACTTAATATGATATGACTATATAAAAATGTTATGAAATAGATTCCAGTTTTGTTCATGTCATATATATGCCAATATAATAATAAGAAAAAATGATAGAGACAAAAGAGAGAGCCAAATTAAATGATTTGGTCATTAATGGCAAATTAATTTCGAGATTTGGCCCTTCCAAGCAAATCTCCAAGATTCGATGACATTGCACAACTCTACTATAAACAGGAACAAAACTCCTAATGTTATGAAATCGGAAAAATATAAATGACCCGAATATTAGAACGTTAATTATAACCGAAAACGGTATTTTAGGAGAATGGAGAATGATGTATTTCTTATTGATCTCTCTCTTGAAAGTGTACAAATGGAGGAACTCAAATGACCTATTTATAGAAATCCCGAAGTTACTGTTCACGTATACGGTCGGTGTGAACAATACCGTATATAAGAATAATAAATCGGTGTGAACAGTAACGATGGGCTCCACCATAAATATATTTTATTTATAACACTCCCCTTGGAGCCACTTTTAGTAAAAACACAGTTGCGTGTTTCGGTACTGCCTCGTTAAAACCCTTATCAGTAAAATCCAATGGAATAAAACCTGATAAGGGAAAAAGAGACAGCTATACGTTCCCCCTGAACAGACATCAAAGATCTCGTAAATGACGCATCCCAATATTACAGAAAATTTTATCACTGGGAGCAATAATTATAAATTAAATTTAAAATATAAAAATATAAAAATACATCGTTACAAAAATGTTTATCTCCTACAACTGAATTCTACAATCCTTCATTTTTTGAAATCGCTCCATAACAATTTCATTTGTAATCGTCTGAAATATATCTTTTTCAATAAAACAAACTAGACAATCACTCAAAAACGGATCACCAATCCGGTTGCGCAAAGCTGTCTTCACAAAGTTCATCGCTGAAAAACATCTCTCAACCGTCGCGGTGGCAACAGGTAAAATCAAAACCAATTTCAAAAGCTTGTACACCAAGGGATAAGAAAGATGTTTCTTTGTTTCCACCATAAGACGAGCAAGATCTCCAATAGTAGTCAAATTAGAAAACATGTCATCTTCCATCAAATTGTCGATGTAGATTCTGAGTTCATGTTGAAGAAATACATGCTCCAAAGAACTGAAGTCATCGGGATAAAATCTAGCTAATTTCACCAGATTTGATATGTTAAACTCACGAAATGAGTCAGCGAGACTCAAAGTTGCCATGCAAATGAGCAATTCTGAATTTATCTCGTCGAATCGATCATTAAATTCTTGAAGCTGCAAATCCATAACAGAATAGAAACAATCTATCTGATAGTGATGCAAGTTGCTTATATTATTTTTTTTCTTGATCTCCTTGAATCCACATAATCTTCCTCCATATCGATCATACCAATATCATGTTTCTCACAGAAAGAAGACACCTGATCTAATAGTGAATTCCATCAGTATCCCTTTGTTGTTGTACTTGTCTCTTTGTAGATTCCACCATTGAAATAACATTCAAAATGTCTTGATCTTTCCTTTGTAAAACCATCGATAAATTATCTGTGAGTCCTAGAATGAGTAACATCACGTGTAGATAAAACACAAAATCTAATGTGTGGAAATATTTGAGAAGATCATAGGCTTGACGTCTTTTAACTGCATCTGTACCGTCATTCTCAACATACTCAAGCACATCAATGATAGAAGAAAATAACTCAACCAAGCGCAATAATGTTTTGTAATGAGATCTCCAACATGTATTTCTAGGTCTCTGGAGAGTAATATCTTGATTCAACCTTTTTCCTATACTAATCTCACCATTATTAATTCCTTCGTTCACTCTTATTCGATGATTTTCCCGAATCATGTCTTTTCTTTTGCAGGAAGCTCCAACCACATTCAACAAAATTGAAATCATATCGAAAAAATTTTCGACATCAAAGTGTTCCTTTGCAACCGCTACAATGACCAATTGAAGTTGGTGAGCAAAACAATGGACATAATATGCTGATATGTTTTCTCTTGAGATCAACGATCTCAATCCATTGAATTCACCTTTCATATTGCTTGCTCCATCGTATCCTTGTCCTCTAACTTTTTTTAAACTCAATCCATATTTAGCAAACAACGAATCAATGGCAGACTTCAGAGATAAGACAGATGTTTCTTTCATCTGAACAAGATCAATGAATCTCTCTTTCACTATCCCATTCTTATCAACAAAACGAAAAACTACTGCCATCTGTTCCTTATGTGAAACATCACTAGACTCATCCACTAATAACCCAAACATATCATGACCAATCTCCTGCATTATATCTTGGGTTATCTGTTTTGCAAAACATTGTACAATATCTTTCTGTATTTTTGGAGAAACCATCTGACTATTCTCAGGAGCATTCTTCAAAACAACCTTACTCACAACATCACTTTGTTCTGCAATATATTTCACAAGTTCCAAAAAATTTCCTTTGTTATCAGAATTTTCTGACTTATCGTGGTCGCGAAAAGGTAGTCCTTGTTTCAACAAATATCTGCAGGAACTGATTGAGGTATTCAACCGAATACGATATTCGTTTTTCACTATATCACTTTGTTTATGCATAGCGTGCATAATCGATTGACCCTGCCTCATCAAATCATCACTTTTTTTGCGCGCATTATTATGAAAACTATTGACATCACCCACATGAGAAGCCAATCTCTCGGTCTTATTCCAACTTGAAAAACCATATGTCACAAAAGCATCATTTCCAACTTGTTCTCCAAACAAATAACAAACAAACAAAATGCTTTATCCTTCTTTATGTTATACTCCAACCAATCGCCGTATTGGTCAAACCAAACTGGATTAAATCGTCTCGATCTATTTTCTATCATCTTCTTTGGAAAATCATGACCACGTGGTTGACAAGGTCCCATAATAAATATTTACGCCTGATCTCATCTCTCTGATTAGGATGATACTCTAATATTTTTTTTCAATCAGCAGGATCCGAATGCAAATCATCCAAATCAATTTATTCAGGTATTAAGGAGCTAACTTGAAAATTTGATACATTGCCACTTGAATTTTTTCCACTATCTTGAGATATAGATGCAAAATTTCTTTTAAGAAATTTGTCCATTGGTTTCCTATGAAATCAAAAACAAAATTAGACAAACACATATATAACAATAAATTTATAAGTATAATAAAAAATAAACAAAAAATATAAAAATTATTTAAAATACAAAGCGTTATTTACCTTTAATTTGATTGATTAATATTAAAATATTGATAACTTTATTTTTAGGAGGTGAAGATGTTGAGATCGAAAGATTGAAAGAGATTGAGAGAGATAGAACTCTTTAAAAAATAGACGGCAGATGAAAGAAAAAGAAGATATTTTAGTAGGTTAAAAGTGATGGGTGGGGGCCACGTAAAAAATAGAGCGGGGGCATTCTCAAAGTTTTACTAAATTTTTTAAATTTTATAAAGTAATTATATTTTTTTTAACTAAGAGGGTGGGGGCATTGGACCCCACTCCATACAACATAGGTCCGCCTCTGATCGTATATATTTGACTTCAATCTCCTTATTCCTTTCAAGCTCCTGGATGTATGTGAAGAACTTCGGGGGGATATGTTTTTGTTCTATCACTTTTGATGAATCCTTCCTTGGTCTGTGCAACGCACGCAACATTGTCTTCAAACAATATTGTTGGCGTCGTGTCGATAGGTATTCCACTAGCCTTTTGAATATGTTGAGATAATGATCTCAACCATACTGATTCTCGGATCGCCTCATGTAATGCGATGACCTCGGAATGATTAGCTGATGTAGCAACTAGAGTTTGCTTTTGAGAACGCCAGGCTAATGTAGTTCCATTGATTGTGAAGACGTAGCCTGGTTGTGACCTGCCTTTATGTGGGTCTGATAAATAACCTGCATCTGCAAAATCAACAATTTTTTGTTTTGTGTTTTTAGGGTAAAATAACCCAAGATCAATAGTTCATTGAAGATAACGAAATATGTGTTTAACCCCATTCCAATGTCTTCGTGTTGGGGCAGAACTGTATCTTGCTAATAGATTGGAAGCGAATGATATATCCGGTCTAGTGCAATTTGCAATATACATAAGAGCTCCTATTGCACTTAGATACGGTACTTCAGGACCAAGTATCTCTTCATTATTTTCGCGCAGACGAAATGGATCTTTGTCAATATCCAATGTTCTATTTACCATCGGGGTACTTAGTGGATTTGTATCCATGTGGAATCGTTTTAGTATCCGTTTTGTATAATTTGATTGATGTAGAAAGATTCCATCTTTCAAATGTTCTATTTGTAACCCAAGACAATACTTGGTTTGTCCAAGATCTTTCATTTCAAATTCCTCTTTTAAATAATTGGATGCATCCTGGATTTCACCGGGAGTTCCAATAATATTTAAATCATCAAGTATACAATAATAATCACAAACTCAGACATCGTCCTTTTGATAAATACGCATGGTGATATAGGATCATTTGTATATCCATTTTTCAATAAATGTTCACTCAGACGTTTATACCACATACGTCCTGATTGTTTTAGCCCGTATAATGATCGTTGTAATTTGACAACACATGATTCTTGCGGTTTTGCTTTCAATATTTCGGGTATTTTAAATCCTTCAGGGACTTTCATATAGATACTCGTGTCAAGTGACCCATATAAATAAGCAGTAACAACGTCCATGAGACGTATTTCTAAATTCTTCGAAACTGCAAGACTAATTAGGTATCAGAATGTAATAGCATCCATAACAGGAGAATAAGTTTCCTCGTAATCTACTCCTAGTCTTTGGGAAAAACCTCGTGCGACAAGACGAACTTTATATCTTACAATTTCGTTGTGCTCATTTTTTTTCCGCACAAACATCCATTTACATCCAACAGGAGAAACTTCTTTCGATTTAATAATAATGTGTCTGAATACCTTTCGCTTATTAAGCGAATCTAATTCAACTTGTATTGCGTCTCTCCATTTATTCCAATCTGGTCTCCTTTGACACTCCGAAATAGATCTGGGTTCTGGATCCTCATTTTCATCAATCTCCTTTGACACATTATAAGAGAATATATCATCAATCTCTTTGATTTCTTTTCGATTCCATAATGTACCATTACTGATATAATTAATTGAGATCTCATGATTTTCATTATCTGGATTTATACCATCATCACAAGGTACTTCTTTTCTTTGATTTGGAACGCATTCCTCCGAATCGAGCATTTCATTTTTCTTGGGCCCTTTGCTCTTTCGGGGGTTTTTATCCTTATAACCAATAGGTCGTCCACGCTTCAAGCATGTTTTGGAATCGTTTGTCGAATTTTCTTTCGTTTGTTCTTTCGAAATTTCAATCCGAGCAGGAACATTTGCAACATCTATATATGATCTTATTACTCTAGTTGTATCTGCAAACGCATCAAGTAACTGATTTGCAATATTCTACAAATGTATAATCCTTTGAACTTCTAATTCTCGTTGTTTTGCTGGGGGATCAAAGTGGGATAATGATGGTGTATATCAATTAAGATCATTTCCATTTCCCACCATTCTTGATTTTCTCTCCCTAATGATGGGAATTTACTTTCATTAAAATGACAATCAGCAAAACAAGCCGTAAAAACATCTCCAGTTTGTGGCTCCAGATATCGTATAATGGATGGTGAATCGTACCCAATATATATTCCAAGTCTCCTTTGTGGTCCCATTTTTGTACGTTGTGGTGGGAAAATCGAGACATATACTGCACATCCGAATATTCTGATATGCGATATATTAGGTTCTTGACCAAATGTTAATTACAATGGAGAATACTTATGATATGCACTTGGTCTGATACGAATCAGTGATGCAACATGCAAAATAACATGACTCCAGATAGAAATGGGTAATTTTGTTTTCATTATCAATGGTCTGGCAATAAGCAGGAGTCGTCTGATTAATGACTCTGCCAATCCATTCTATGTATGAACATGTGCTACTGGGTGTTCAACATCAATACCCATTACTACACAGTAATCATCAAAAGCTTGTGATGTAAATTCTCCAGCATTATCAAGCCTCACTTTCTTGATCGGGTACTCTGGGAATTGTGCGTTTAGTTTAATTATTTGAGCTAAGAATCGGGAAAATGCCAGATTTCTGATGATAAAAGACATACATGCGACCATCTGCTTGAAGCATCAATTAATACCATAAAATATCGAAATGGTCTGCATGGTGGATGAATGGATCCACATATATCACTATGAATTCTTTCTAAAAATGATGGTAATTCATACCCGGTTTTAACTTGTGATGGTCTAATTATTAATTTCTCTTTAGAACATGCATCATAAGAAAGCTCATCCGATTGAAAAAATCTTCTAATTTTTCAATGGGTGACCATGAGAATTTTCGATAATTTTTCTCATCATGATGGCACCAGGGTGACCCAATCGATCATGTCAAACTTTGAATGTATCAGTAAACTTCTGATTTACTATAACATATGATTCAATCACATTGATATTAGTATAATATAATCCCGAGGATAGAGTGGGTAATTTTTCCAACACATGCTTTTGTCTCGAATTGATTGAGGTGATATATAAGGGTAAAACTCCTAAAAAACCTCAAACTTATAAAAATATATACAAATAAACCTTCAACTTGAAAAACTATCATTCAATCTCCGAACTTGTAACTTGGTACTGAATAAAACCTCGAACTTGCAAATTATTGCTCTAATAAACCTTTGACCGATTTGACCACAATTTCAAACGATCGGAAATCCACGTATTGACGGATTGCTGATGTCATTTTTTAAATTAAAATTGATAACATGTATAAGATGACTCCAGTAATCCGTTAATACGTGGAATTCCGATCGCCTGAAATTGTGGTCAAACCGGTCAAAGGTTTATTAGAGCAATAATTTACAAATTCGAGGTTTTATTCAGTGACAAGTTACAAGTTCGGAGATTGAATGATAGTTTTTCAAGTTGAAGGTTTATTTGTATATATTTTTGCAAGTTGGAGGTTTTTTTAGGAGTTTTACCCGATATATAAATACTCAGTGTCGTCCTCATTCATGGTTTCAATATGATATCCATTTTGTCGGATATCTTTAAAACTCAGTAAATTTCTTTGGAACTTGGAGGAAAATAATGCATCTTTTATTGTAAATTTCGTTCCTCCTGACATAATGAAATCAGCTCTTCCGGAGCCTTCGATTATTTTTACATTTCTAGATATAGTAGTAACATTTCCTTTGTTTATTATCAGATTCGAGAAATATTGTTTGTCTTTCAAAATTGTATGTGTTGTAGCACTATCTGCCAAACATATATCTCCTCCTCGGTCTGCAGTTTTGGCCATAATTGTTTTCTATTCAAGAACAAAACAACATTACAAAAAATATATTAATAACGTATAATATCATTACTAACTTATGAAGCAGAAATAGTTATACAAAACACGACAACATATCATAAAACTATTTATATATGAGACTGCATATGTAGATAATATTGATTATATGAAGTATGCAAATATTTATATAGTTTTATTCATAACCAACTCCATCTTCAGGATGGGCAAAAACATCAGCGAGGTCCATGTCTGCAAAGTCTTCAGCACCACTAGCATCATCATCATAGTCGCTCATGACATGATTGGTCTCAATGTCTTTTTCTTTTGTTTTAATCGACTTCTGGTAAAAGTCCACCAGGTGTTTAGCGGTACGACAAGTACGCGACCAATGTCCCGTCATTCCACACCGGTGGCATGTACTTTCTTTCATCCTCTTGTTCTGATGACCATGTGCTCCCCCTTTATTACTATTAAAATTATGATTTTGGGATGAATTCCCTTGATCACCTCCTCCGATCCATCTTCGGTTAGCACCACGACCGCGTCCTCGACCTCAGCCTCGGCCTCTACCTCGAAAATAACCACGTCCTCGGCTATTATAAGACATAACATTCACTCTAGGGAATGATGTTTTTTCTGTAGCATTCGCTTCCGGGAATGGTGCAGGTCCAGTCGGTCGTGATGCGTGATTTTTCGTTAACAACACATTATTTTGTTCAGCCAACAGGAGACATGATAAAAGCTCTGAATATTTTGTATGCCCTTTTTCTCGATATTGTTGTTGGAGTATAATATTCGAGGCATGCATAGTAGAGAAAGTTTTCTCCAACATCTGATTTTCAGTAACTGTTTCTCCACATAATTTTAGAATCGAGGTGATTCGATATATTGTCGAGTTATATTCACTGACATTCCTGAAATCTTGGAATCGGAGGTGCATCCACTCATATTTTGCCTTGGGGAGGATCACCGTTTTTTGATGATCGAAACGATCTTTTAATTTTAACCAAAGATCTGCAGGATCTTTGATTGTCAAATATTCATTTTTTAAATCATCATGAAGATGATGTCGCAACAATATTAGTGCCTTTGTCTTATTCTCGTTTGATGCATTTTTTTCTTTAATAGTGGTACTAAAGCCTTTTGATTCGAGATGCAACTCAACATCCAATTGCCATGATAAATAATTATTTTCCGATATATCGAGGACCTCGAACTCGATATTTATCATTCTTGTCATTATGACTAAACAAAAAAATAAGTCATACATTAGCTTTATTCATTATCATGGATAAGACAACATAGCGAAATACATGATTACATATAAATTGCTATAATTAGTAACACGTAAACAAGAGGTAAGATCGCAACGCAAATTGAAAACAGAGATGGATTGGGATTTTTGTTGAAGAAAATACTAAATGTTGCCACTAAAACTGTTAGAACAAAGAGAATTTTAATAAAATTCTTCTTGAATTTTTTTTTTGTGGGAGAGGAGAAGAGAATGAGATAATTTGGTGTGAGTTTTTGAGTGAATGGGTGAGTGTATTTATAGGGTAAAATTTATTATTCCTAACCGTTGAGGAGGAGCCAAAATTTGATTTTTTATTTTTTTTTAAATTGTAGCCGTTGAAGAACTTTTTAAAAACAAAATTTCATAAATGATTTTACCAATTTATATCATAAAACTATACATAAATAAATTGTTAAACTATTTTATAAAATTAATTTATCATGCTACACTACAAAAAAAATGGTCATTTCCAACGGGCAAATCCGTTGGAAATGACCAAATTTCCGTTGGAAATTAACGTTTCCAACGGATTTCCAACGGATAAATCCGTTGGAATTTCGTCGTTAGAAAACGGTGTCCGTTGGAAAACCGTTGGAATTTTCAACGGAATTTCAACGAATTTTTCCGTTGGAATTTTCCAACGGATTTCCAACCGCAATCCGTTGGAATTTTCCAACGGATTTCCAACGGATTTATCGGTTGGAATTTTCCAACCGAATTTCCAACCGATATCCGTTGGAATTTTCCAACGGAATTTCCAACCGCAATCCGTTGGAACATTCCAACAAAAAATTCAAAATATATTCTCGATCCCGACCCCGGCCCCGACATCTATCCCGATACCGATCCCGATCCCCCGGCCCAACTCCGACCCCGACATCTATCCCGATCCCGATCCCCCAGCCCCGACCCCGACCGGTCACCCATCCTTCCACTGCTCCAGCTCAATCCTCCTTAACCCTGGAGTTCCAATTGACAATCATCCAACTGCTCCAAGTTAAACTTCTGATATTACATAACATTAATATATATACATATATAAATGTTTATACATATAAATATTTATATACATACATACATATATACATACATATACATATATATAAATATTTATATATATACATACATATATATACATATATATAAATATATGTATATATATATATAAATATTAACGTATGTATACATTCGAATTCATATATATATATATAAATATTTATATATATGTATATGTATGTATGTATATATATAAATATTTATATATATATGTATGTATGTATGTATGTATGTATGTATGTATGT